TCCCCAACACTGATGAGGTGGCTCACGGTACCTAAACCGTACAAACAATGTATTTCATGCTGAAGACCTGTTTTCCTCCTGGAGTCTGGAACTTTGGTACACTAGGCATAGGACATCTAAGTGAGCAGCCTCCAACAAAAACTTTGGGCACTGAGTCTCTAATAGCACCATATTTTATAATTACCACAATTTGATGCTGGAGGAATTATGTACATCCTCTGGGACTCTACCGATAAGATTCTTGGAAGGTTACACCTGCCCTCACATGCCTTTTCCCTTTGCTGATTTCAGTTTGAATCTTTTTGCTGTAATAAATCATAGCTGTGAGTATGACTCAATGCTGAGTCCTGTGAGTCGTCATAGTGAATCACTGAATGTGCAGGTGGAGTTGGGATCCCTGGCACGAGCTTCCCCATTCCCTCAACGTTGTAAGTTATCTGCCAGCTTCCATACTGGGGCAGTGTAACAGACAACAAGCCAACCAAATTAAGAGTTCCAAAGTCCAACTCTAAAAATTCCTGATTTCTTCACTAACAATAGTTGCAAATTAACATACTACAATTTTTTTAAATTCAACATCTCTACCTATAGAAATCTATTCCTCATGTTTCTTACCGTTATTTGTAGATCTTTTTCCTGACCAAACTCCAGCGCTTCTCCTCCCTGGCTCCCATCTCATTATCCCATGGAGCTTCCACTGAAACATCAGGTGGTCTGTCCCCTTTGTCATTTAGCCTCCTGACTAGAAAGCAACGTCACTTATGAAACCTCCAGTGTCCTTTGCTCTGTGTCATTTTGAACAGGATTAAATAATATAAACTGCCAGGAAGATCTTTTTTCAGTTCACTAGAATATGCAGAATTAACTAACTGTCATAAGTGAATTAACTAACTAGCATAGAGAAAGGAAGACAAACTAAAGAATGACCCACAGCGAAAAATGAAATACAAGTTTTACAAAATTAGACTTTGAGGAAATTGAGGAAATAGTCTGACTGAATTTCTTGTCATCTAGAATAGGATTTCTCAGCATATTTCAAAAAAACCCAGTAAGGTTTATTATGTAACAGGAAGAATTTCAAGAAAAGCTTGCTGTCATCATGTGCAGAATAAGGAGAAGAGAGATGTCTTCTGTCTGACATTATGAACTGAGAGTTTTCACAGAGTAGTAGTGGCACTTGGTGGCCACGAGTAAACTACAAATCATAGCTACTAGGGTCAATCAACAGCCTCCTCATTGTTTTTCTATTGAAAACAGAAGAACTATGAACAATGAAAATAAATATCTCTAGGGCTATTTATTTTATTCCCAAATGGCCCCTGTGGTTCTAATTTACTTCTAAAGTCATATTTTTTAACAAAATATTATTTTTAAAAACCTGTCGATTTGCACAGATTACTCATGTCACATCCTTTTTTCTTTCTTTCCTTCTTTCCTTTTATAGATGGAGTCTTGCTCTATTGCCCAGGTTGAAGTGCAGTGGCACAATCTCAGCTCACTGCAACCTCTGTCTCCCGGGTTCAAGCAATTCTCCTGCCTCAGCCTCCTGAGTAGCTGGGATTACAGGCACATGCCACCAACATGCCCAGCTAATTTTTTTGTATGTTTAGCAGAGGTGGGGTTTCACTATGGTGGCCAGGCTGGTCTCGAACTCCTGACCTCAAGTGATCCACCCACCTGGGCCTCCCAAAGTGCTGGAATTACAGGTGTCAGCCACCTCGCCCAGCCCTCACATCCTCTTTTGAATCACAGCTTTCAAGGATAGGGAGATGGAAATGAGAAGATTCATCCACAACAAACAGTGAACTGAGCACATTAGCGCAAAAATGGAAGACACACAGCAACAAGGTGTTGCTGGCCATGCCTGGAAGCCAGGCAGAGAGTTGTTAGGGAATTTAGCTCAGCACCGTCAAGAGTTTTATTATTTTAAGAAGCCTGATTCGTTTTTGTTTCTGTTTTTGTTTTGCTATTGACAATTATTTAACTATGAGAGGCCAACAAATCTGTGACCACCTTTCAAGCCATAGGTCACAAATATGCCAGTGAATGTTGGTCCATGAGGCAAGAAACCACAAGGGGTGAAAATGGCCAGCTCATCAGAGGAGTGGGGGTGAAGGCAGGAATAAGTAACAGGACTAGGCTCCCTGGGCCAGGCAGCAGCAGCAGCCGGAAAGGAGGTGAGCTCTTCCAGGAAGTGTTAAAGGCTAGGTGTTTCTGTGCCATGACTATGTCCTCATTCTGTCCTTTCTGGTTTTCAGGATGGCTGAAGCTGTTCCAGGGCAAGATGGTGAGTCAGGTTCAGAAGGAATAGGGATGCCATTTTTGTCCTCTTTCTCCTTAAGCTAAAGCAAAAGGGGTACTTTAAACTTGATATGTACTCACTTCTTCAAAGTGAGTTCACAATTGCAATGTATTTCAATGGTATCTGCCCAGACTGTGAAGCAAACAATGCCGGTTTCTGAGACTTTTTTGATTAGTAAAAAAATCACATTTTACCACTTTCACTTATTTTCTTAGACTTACTGCAGCGGACCCTTAAACAACATGGGCTTGAACTGCATGGGTCCATTTATAGAGGGGTTTTTCTCTCAGTAAAAGTCACAGAGTGTGCCTCCCTCTCCTGCTTCCCCATCTACCTCCTCTGCCTCTTCCACCTCTGCCACCCCTAAGACAGCAAAGCCAACACCTCCTCTTCCTCCTCTCAGCCTATTCAGCGTGAAGATGACAAGGAACAAGTCCTGTATGATGATCCGCTTCCCCTTAATAAATAGTAAATTTTCTCTTTTGTATGAGTATCTTAATAATATTTTGTTTTCTCTAGCTTACCTTATTGTAAGAATACAGTATATACTATATATAACAAGCCAAATATATGGTAATGTACCGTCGATGTCATCAGTAAGACTTCCAGTCAACAGTAGGATATTAGTAGTTAAGTTTGGGGGGAGTCAACAGTTACATGCAGATTTTTGACTGCACAAGGGTGGGTGTCCCTAACCCTGCATTGTTCAAGGGTCAACTGTATATTAAAATCAAATTATAACAAATTATTACCATACAACAAAAATGTATTAATGTTTCCTTTAAAGTTTGTTTTAGGTTTAAAAATAACTCACATTTCTGCTAACCGTCCTTGTCTAAAACACTTTTTAATTTTTTGGTTTAAAAAGGAAATATAGTACATATACCATAGTTACATAATAGTCCCGGCAGGGACTAGGGCAGCTCCACATAATTAAATACATTAATATTTCTGCACACATACACACATACAGATACAAACACACACACAGGTTTTGCAAATAAGAGTTTTGAGGTTTTGGTTTTCAGCATTTTGGGGACTTAAGGATAAAGGAGTATGGTCCTTAATTACATGAACCTGCAGAATACCACAGGTCACAATGAAGAGCCGCAGCAGAAACCATCATGAGACACAATGCCATTCTGTGTAAATTGGTAGAAACCAAATCACAGAGAAACCAGTGGGAGGAAAAAAAATACAACTATATCGACTTCTGAGGAAGATACTCTAGACAAAAAAGCAGAATTAAAACTAAACCAGGGCCAGGTGTGGTGGCTCATGCCTGTGATCCTACCAGTTTGGGAGACCCAGATGGGTAGATCACTTGAGATCAGGGGTTCAAGACCAGCCTAGCCAATATGGTAAAACCCCATCTCTACTACAAATACAAAAATGAGCAGGGAGTGGTAGCACACACCTGTAATCCCAGCTACTCGGGAGGCTGAGACAGGAGAATTGCTTGAGCCTGGGAGGTGGAGGTTGCTGTGAGCCAAGATTGTGCCGCTGCACTCCAGGCTGGGCAACAGGGCAAGGCTCTGTCTCAAAAAAAAAAAAAAAAAAACTAAACCAGGATCACTAACAGTCCACTGAAACCAACTGCATAACAGCATATGGTTAACCAAGGGCAACCCAGTTCCCAGTCAGTCCCTGGATCCCAAGGATATTTCTAGCAGAGATGTCAATACATGGCAGTACCAGCAAATGCCATACCCAACATGTCAGGAGCAAAAGCGCCAGAGGTGACCACACATTCACAGGCCTCATTCTAGTAGTGGAAGGAGAAGCTAAAGCCACCAACAAGCCAGATGTGTGCTAACCACACATTCACCCGTGCCACGTTTGTTAGTGAGCTGCTTCTCCCTGCTGTCATCAAGGGAACTTTGTAGTAGCTGCTTATCACACACACACATACACACAAAAAGAATGTTTAAAAACTCTGCTTTAGGTCAACTTTGATAACCTGTTGTGTCCACCAAATAACTAACCAGTTTTAAGTAACTTCTACTTAATAATGAAGATTTATTCATATAAAGCAATGAACATGGATACAATTTATACTTGCTAAAGAAGACTTTGACACATAATAGGTAGTTTACAGGAGAGAGCCATATATACAATGCATCTTATTAATTCCATGAAAATCTAAAAGTAATGTCACCTAATAGATTAATTCAGTAGCTTAATTATACTAAACTTATAATTAACAGATTTGTTAATAATTTCTATCCATATTCTTTTTTTTTTTTTTTTTTTTTTGAGACAGAGTTTCGCTCTTGTTACCCAGGCTGGAGTGCAATGGCGCGATCTCGGCTCACCACAACCTCCGTCTCCTGGGTTCAGGCAATTCTCCTGCCTCAGCCTCCTGAGTCGCTGGGATTACAGGCACGCGCCACCATGCCCAGCTAATTTTTTGTATTTTTAGTAGAGACGGGGTTTCGCCATGTTGACCAGGATGGTCTCGATCTCTTGACCTCGTGATCCACCCGCCTCGGCCTCCCAAAGTTCTGGGATTACAGGCTTGAGCCACCGCGCCCGGCAATTTCTATCCATATTCTAAACTTCATCTTTCACATCCAAATGATACTAAATCATTACTTCATTAACCCAAAGCATTTTCAATAAGATTGGAGAGGGAGGCAGTATTATAAAATAGTTATCAACACAGAAAGCAGCAAAGTAAATTGTGATGGTCTCCTACCTCTGCTCGACCCTCATAGTAAGTTAGCATGGATTTTGTAAGTACAAAAAGTCGCTCTTTGTAGTTTAAGGGTGATGTCTTCTTTTTCTGCTGTGACCTTTTAATAAGAATCTCCTCCAAAATAGTGTTAAAACTCATCTCGATCTTCTGATGACTCCTTCTCCTGCCACTGAAGATCCCAGGATTCTACAGTGAAAAAAGTTAAAATGGGACAGTTTAATTTTCCATAGATGTTGCCATTTCAAATTACCAAAATCAGCTTCACCCTCACCCCTGCTGTGGCAGACGAGTGTTGATCTCTGTGCCCAAATTGAGAATGCCTGGGACACAAGAAATCAACCTCCTCACCTTTTCCAGTCTCCATCCTGTTCTTCCATTCTCATCATTTCATGAGAAAGTCTAATCAAGGTTCTAGATAATGATGATTCATTCCTATGTACTTCTCACACACACACACACCCCTTAGCTTTCTGGTGCACTCCTACTATTTGATCACAGGGAACAAATATCTCAGATGGAAAGGCACATTTTGTCACCTGTGTGGCTGATTTATACTGATATTTGAATTGCTTCAGGATCTTGGTACACAAAACAGGTGACCTTACAGACAGCAGATTCATGAACAAAATGAATTAGCATGGTGGTGGGTATAAGTCATACTCCAAGGGTGTCTGATAAGGTTGTCATCTCAATGAAGCATCCTCGTTACCAGTGCCACAGGGATGTTCTCTAGTGCCTACACTACCATGCTGCAGAGTTTTCTTCCCTATGGCTTCTGTCTCTATCACAAGGGAAATGGAAACCCACCAGCCATAGCTAACCTGCTCAGGGCAGAGTCCATCTGGATGAGGAAGTCCTCAACCCTACAACTCCAGACTATCCATACCTAGTCTAAGCCTTTTAAAATTCAACGCAATTTAACTATCTGAAAACCCAAAGACACTCAAAAAGGCCTGACGATTTATATTTGAGACAAGTTGAATTAGCAACAGCCTCTCCTTCTTTTGCCTCCACTGTACCTTTAAAGAAATACAATCCTGTATGATCTGCACATGTACTCCAGAACCTAAAGTACAATGAAAAAAAAAATAATTTCCATCTCAGAATTTTATATCTGACCAACCTAAGCTTCACAAGCAAAGGAGAAATAAAATCCTTTTTAGATAAAAAAGAAAAAGAAGAAGAAAAAGAAGTAACTGGCCAGGCACAGTGGCTCAGGCCTGTTATCTCAGCACTTTGGGCAGATCAGTTGAGGTGAAGAGTTCAAGAGCAGCCTGGCCAACAGAGCAAAACCTCCTCTCTACTAAAATAACAAATATTAGCTGGGCATGGTGGCACACACCTGTAATCCCAAATACTTGGGAGGCTGAGGCAGGGGAATCACTTGAACCTGCAAGGCGGTGGCTAGAGGGAGCCACATTGTGCCACTGCACTTCAGCCTGGGTGACAGAGCAAGACTTTGTCTCAAAAATAAATAAAGAAATAGTTCATGTGCAGTGGCTCAGGCCTGTAATCCCAGCACTTTGGAAGGCTGAGGCGGGTGGATCACAAGGTCAGGAGTTCAAGACCAGCCTGGCCAATATGGTGAAACCCCATCTCTACTAAAAATACAAAACATTAGCTGGGTGTGGTGGCGCATGCCTGTAGTCCCAGCTACTGGGGAGGCTGGGCCAGGAGAATCACTTGAATCCTGGCTCAGCAGTTGTAGTGAGCCGAGATTACGCCACTGCACTCCAACCTGGGCAACAAGAGCAAAATTCAGTCTCAAAATAAATAAATAAATAAATAAATAGCTGCATATTAAAAGACAGGGGCAAGAAGAGTCACATGAACAGCATTAAATAGCTCTCTGACAGCAAGGCTGGTGACTAGACAGGGTTAGCAACTGAGGAAATCCACCGTCTTCACATACAATTCGACATCTCCAATGCACCCTTCAATTTCCTATTATGGGTTGGTCATCATCCAATCAGGCCCCTCCATCTTCTGTAAGGTTCCTTCACAACAGCTTCACTCTGAACATCAGTCCCTTCATTTATAAAGTATGGAAGGAAAGACCATAAGGTCAGTGTGAGATTTGAATGAAATATGGGAAATAACTGACTATGAAAGCACTACACAAATGTTTATCATCATCTTTAATTCCATGGCTGTTTTCCTAGCTCGAGGCATTTTGACCTTGCATCTGGACAATGAGAGTCACTCCCCAACTAGTCTTCATTTCCTTAAGCTCTTGCCTCCTTTCATTCAAACTACCTATCTATTCATCACTCCCATTGGATCAATCTTCAAAGATTCAGCATCGCCATTTTGCTCATCAGAAATCCTCAATGCCTTCCCATCACCTACAGAGTAAAGCCAAAATTACTTAGTCTGACACCAGAGGCTGTCCACATTCTGGCCACAGCCTACCATCCCATCTTTACTTCCACTACACTCCAATCAAAATAGTCTTCCAGCAGCTAACAAACATATGAAAAAAAGCTCATCATCACTGGTCATTAGAGAAATGCAAATCAAAACCACAAGGAGATACCACTTCATTCCAGTTAGAATGGTGATCATTAAAAAGTCAGGAAACAACAGATGCTGGAGAGGATGTGGAGAATAGAAAGCTTTTACACTATTGATGAGAGTGTAAATTAGTTCAACCACTGTGGAAGACAGTGTGGCAATTCCTCAAGGATCTAGACCAGAAATACCATTTGACCCAGAAAGCCCATTACTGGATGTATACCCAAAGGATTATAAATCATTCTACTATAAAGACACATGCACACATATGTTTATTGCAGCACTGTTCACAATAGCAAAGACTTGGAACCAACCCAAATGCCCATCAATGATAGACTAGAAAAAGAAAATATGGCATATACACACTATGGAATACTATGTATCCATAAAAAAGGATGAGTTCATGTTCTTTGCGGGGACATGGATGAATCTGCAAACCATCATTCTCAGCAAACTGACAAAAGAACAGAAAACCAAATACCACATGTTCTCACTCATAAGTGGGTGTTGAACAATGAGAAAACATGGAAACAGGGAGGGGAACATCACACACTGGGGCCTATCAGGGGGTGGCTAGGTGAGGGATAGCATTAGGAGAAATACAAAAAAAAAGTCTTCCAAATCTCCAGAGATTCCCCTCACAGCATTCATTTCCTGGTCTAGTGGACTCCCTGCCTCACACCTATTAAAACTATACCAACTCAAAATTCATATCCTTAATGCAGTCACCCTAAGCTGACTTCAATTAATTAAAAACCTTCCAACTCCTGTGCCATCATTGCTAACACTCATCATAGAACTAATCATATGTGTCTACAGCAATTAATGTACACATTTTTAATTCTCATTTAGCTGTTAAGGAATGGTTCTCAACCTTCAGTATATATTAGAATCACCTAGAGAATTTCATTTTAATACAGATGTCTAGGCTCCACTTCCAGATTTTTTTATTCAATTGGTCTGAGATGGAGCCCTGGACATCATGATTTCATGTACAGGTAGAATTGAGAGCCACTATCTTAAAGGAAGACACTGGGCTCCGCATCTCTTCCTACCACTCCTGGTGTCTACAGCAGATTCTCAGTAACCAGCTGAATCACAGAACTCATTAACCCAATAGCCACCCTAAGCTGAGGAATCACAGGAAAGCTCTTGCCCCTTTTGCGTCTAAGTTGGTCTTCCCTATTCCGTATTAAAATTTTGGCACTCCATCTGCTTTCCTAAGAAACTGTCAGAATGCAGATACCCTTCTTTGGAAATTGTCTTTTCATCTTTGTGCAACACATTTTCAAGGGTGAAAATGACTACTTATAAGTATGGATACCAGGGAAGAGCAAGCAATGCTCTCATAAACGGGCCATGTGCAAACATGTAGTTTCCAACGCAGTGAGCAATACCGTTGTTAACAAATGGATGGCAGACTTTTGGAAGCCCCATGAGGATAAATGGGGTGGGACTTATATGCAGTTCTAGAAGCAAAAGATGTCAACATTGGGGCAGAAAAACACATTCATGTTGAATGTCCTGGGGAAAAAAATGTGACCTGTCTGGGCGTGGTGGCTCGCACCTGTAATCCCAGCACTTTGGGAGGCCAAGGCAGGTGAATCACTTGAGGTCAGCTGGCCAACATGGTGAAACCCCGTCTCTATTAAAAATACAAAAACTAGCCGGGTAAGGTGGTGGGTGCCTGTAGTCCCAGCTACTTGGGAGGCTCAGGCAGGAAAATCATTTGACCCCAGGAGACAGAAGTTGCAATGAGTCAAGATCATGCCATTGCACTCCAGTCTTAGTGACAGAGCGAAACTCTGTCTCAAAAAATAAAATAAAATCACCTTATCTGACTTATATGTGTGATTACTAGTCTTATACAGAATCATACCATTTAAGCTGAAAAGAATCTTAGTAACCATCTAATCTAGCTCCCTCAAGAAACTGAGGTTCAGAAAAGTTAAATGGCTTACTCAAGGTCACACAAGTCAAGACCAGAAGAAAATCTCCTGGTTTCTATTTACGGGCTCTCCTTACCCTTCTATCCCATACAATTAAAGTTCTCCACTGTTGTTATAATTCATTGGCCAGTGGGAAGTCCTGGCCAAAGAAAACTACTAACGTTCAGAGAGAGATAAATGAAGGAAAAGACTTCCAGCTAAAGATGTAGTGTTGGCTCCTTCCTGAAATTCCATTAAAAACAGTTATGTTGCTGTTGTTAAGGAACTGACTGTCAAGGAAATGGAAAGCAAGAAATAAAACAACAGAATTTTGGAAACTAGGAAACAAATAAATATGTGGCAGGCCCCGCCGAAGGGAAGCCTGGAAACAACCCAATTACTTCTGCAAAACTTCCAAATGGCTCAAGAATCAGCAGAACATGGTATCTCTAGAAGTGGTGACAAGGAATTAAAGCAAAAGAATTGTTGGCAAATCTGCTTAAGAAACAAAGTCCCTGATCCTCCTCTATCTTCCATGCCATAGATCTAGGTGACTAACCCTCCTCAATGCTGGGGGAAAACTAGAGGTTTATTTCTGAAGACCGTAAAACATAGGGTCACTATCCTGGGAGAGACTAAGTATAGTTTCGGCTGGGAGTACCACACTGAAAAGGAGGAGCTTAAATGAAACTGTATAAGTGTACATAACAATGATGAGGCCACTCAGCTCGCTTCTCCCACCTGGCTCCAGGACATCAGGACTGGACTAAGGGAAAAGTCTTGAAGACACAGACATAGAAGTGTCCCCAAAGAAATGACACAGCCAGATTACCCCTATAGTTAAGCCCACAGTCAGCAAGGCCGAATACCATGCACAAAACTTCCAACTGACACTTTTTTCTTTTGTTTTTTAAAGATGAGGTCTGTCTATGTTGCCCAGGCTGGAGTCAAATTCCTGAGCACAAGCAAACCTCCTGCCTCAGCCTCCCCAAGTAGTTGAAACTACAGGTACACATGACCACACCCGGCTCAACTGACTTTTTAAAGTCCCACTCTGATAAATGAGAGAAAGACAAGGATCACCAGACATTTGAGGAAAAATTCTAATGTGAATCCAAGGTCAAAGAACAAATGCAAAAAAAGCAAATTGGAAGAAACAAAAGTTGTACAGAAAAAAAGAAAATGTTAAAAAATCACATCAAATCAAATTAAGGGAATATACATGCATGAAACAAGGTCACGATATAGCCAAAATAAGAAACAGAGAACCATAAAAAAAAGAGGAGCTATTAGAAATCAAAAACAAAATAGAAGAAATGAAAAACTCAATAGAAAAGTAAGGACAAAAAGTTGAGAAAGTCTTTCAAAAAAACAAAACAAAAAATTTAAAAAATTAAGAAAGAGAAAATGCAACAAAATTCCAGAACTCACCCAGAAAGTTCAGTGTCTAAAAAACAGAAGTTCCAGAAGAAGAAAGCGAAGAAAACAGAGTGAGAAAACAATCAAAGAAACATTTTAGGAAAACCTCCCCAAACTTAAGGTTATTTTTAGACTGAAATGCAATCAAATTAAGGCACCTCTTGTAAAATTTCACAACTATGGGGATTAGCAAAATATTCAGCAAGCTTAAATGTAAGTATCATAGAAAGGATCGAGATTCAGAATGGTAATCATCGAGAGTAATGCCAGAGAGTAGAAGACAATGAAGAAAAACTCAGAAAGACAGTGCATTCTAATCAAAAATTCTATACTCAGCCAAAGTGCCAATGAAGTAAGACATTTTTCAAATATCCGCAAAGCTTTAACAATTCTATCGCTTGTTCACCTTTCTCAAAAAGCTACTTGGGGATCTAGCCAAAATACCAAAACAAAGCAGAAAGCCAGAAAAGCAGAAACCACAAGAATTTAGAAAACAAGCATTCCAACATAAGAAAGACGTAAAGGGACTCCTCCTCCAATAGATGATGATGAACGGAAATCCCAAAATGAATGACACCGAGCAGCCGGCTGAGAGTACAACCAGTCCAAATTGGATCAAGTAAGGAGATGAAACTCTTCTTCTAGGAGACGAAACTTAATGTATGCGGAGAAGAGTTATAATAAGTTAGTAAAATTTAGCCAACTTTAAAAAATAAAATAATTTCAAGGGAAAACAAGAAATTGTTTAGAAAAGGAAAAATAATCACAAGTATGCTACAGAGTTCTGCTACAAAAAACAACTATATCGTCATAATGAGGTAAACAATAGTGATAATCTTACTACTAATATAAATATATTGGGAGTGAGAGCAGGAAGTGTGCTCCTCTGTGGGTGGGGGAGTCCATTATGAAAGAGAGCTAGATCCTCCATGATAGTAGGAGGAGAAGGAGGAAAAGGTAGAGAGGAAGCCAATAAATAATACCCACATTGAAATAGCAAAAAGTAGCAATGTAAAGCTACTTAGAGACTGTCAAGAGACAAAATGACAACAAATTCAGTAAAAGTGACTTTTATTCACAGTTCATGAGTCAGGGCAGCCTCTATTCTGTAAAATATGAGAGCTCCCTCTGGGCAATGGCAGAACAATGGATTTTGTAAGGTAGGAAAAAGGAAACAGAACAATAGAAAAAAAAAAGCTGATTAGTAACATCAAGTTACTTCAGGTACTTTTTTTGGTAAAGATTAAAACAGAGGGGACTTCCTTATTACACTGATTCGCATAGAGTATAATCTCCTGTTTTCAGAAAGAAAAAAAAGTGGTCTATTTGGGGATCTACCAGCTCCCTTAAAGCTTCAGTTTGATTATGTAGCATTTACCATGAGTGACTCCATTTCTGTTTGGCCTGGGTTGTTGGGGTCTAGTGCAGGAGCTCAGTCTAAAACAATGGCTTACCATAATTTTTGTTTAATAAGATACATTGGGATGAAAAACTTTGAAAAAATGAAAATGATTGCCTCTGAGAATCAGAATATCCTTGGAGAATAGCAGTGGAAAGGTGTATGTCCTACTCTTCTGCCCTAAACAATAAAACATAAAAGCCAGAGAAGAAAATCCCATTTTCAATGAAATAAAAAGACAGCCTTCAATTCCGAACTACAAACTATGAAACACCTGCTAAATGCTATGAAATCTGGACCAAAATGGGGGAGGAGGCTGAGGGCAGATTTTCCTAAAAGTAAACATCATTGTCCTGAGTGGTCAATCTAATGACCTTTTGATAAGATCAGTGAAATCCAGAGGAATAATCAGACCACAGGAGAATCGAGGAGTATCCCTATGGAATTGCTATTCACACAGAAAAATAACAAAAGTCATTGTTATATTATCATTATCAAGCTTTTATTACTTTGCACTGTCCCAATCACTAAGCACTTTCAATGTATTAAATCACTTCATTCTCTCAACAACCTTCTGAAGCATGTACTAATACTGTCTACATTTTACAGGTCACCAAGTAAGAATAAGAGCCAGGTTTTAATCCAGGCAATACGATTTCAGGGCCTATACTATTAACTACACTATACAACCTCCCTAGTGGAAAGGAAGGTAGAACTGAAGGAAAAAGTTTAATGAGGTCCCACTTCCAGCCTACTGATTTAGGAGCTTGCTAAGCGCAATTGGATTCAATCTCCAGATTTCAATAGAGATAGCCTATGACTTTCAGGGCATCACTAAGAGCCACACCAAACTCTCAATACCGAAACTGAAGGGAGATGTCCTCTCTGAATGAGGAAATAATAGGTTTGATGTTCTAAATGTTAAAACGAAGATGAAACAAAACCTCAGGATTCCAGCTTTCTCTCTCAGCCATTGCTAACTAAGGATTATGAATATCTTTTTTAAATAAAATTCCCATTCCCTTTGCCTTGGCGACTAACTGCTAAAAGACTGAACATTTTTAACACGTTAGTCTTTGAACACTAACATTCTGACAGACAACAGAAACTGTCACTATCACCAGTGAGAAACCCAAACCACCAAATTTACACTGTCTGTCCAATGTTGCAAATCTGAATATCTGACGAATAGTTTCACAGTCCAACAATTTCAGCCAACAAATCTTAAAACCTTTTTCATCATGAAAGATTCTGCCTGAAAGCAAATAATTTTTAAGGCTATGCCAATTGCCCTGATCTAATACATACATAGCAATGCATTTTACGTATCAAAACATCACTATGTACCCACAAATATGTACAATTATTACTTGTCAATTTAAAAGAAAATTAAAAAAAGAAAATAGGCCAGCCGTCATGACTCATACCTGTAATCCCAGGACTTTGGGAGGCTGAGATGGGCAGATTACTTGAGGCCAGAAGTTCAAGACCAGCCTGGCCAACATGTTGAAACCCTGTCTCTACTGATAAATACAAAAATTAGCGAGGTGTGGTGGCACACACCTGTAGTCCCAGCTACTAAGGAGGCTAAGGCATGAGAATAGCTTGAACCTGGGAGGCAGATGTTGCAGTGAGCCGAGATCATGCCACTGTACTCCAGCCTGGGTACTGGAGTGAGACTGTCTCAAAAAAAAAAAAAAAAAAAAAAAGAAAGAAAGAAAGAAAAGAATAATTTTTTAAAAAATAACTGATGACTAGGACAGCCTATCCTAGTCAATATCATTTTTCATAATATTTTAAGTCAAAAGAACAGGGGTGCTAAATGGGAAAGGAAATCAGAGATAGAAGAAAACACAAGTGACTGTGAGTTACCATATATGGCCTATAGTAAATACGAGAAAAAGGGCCCAGATAACAGAGTTGGGAAAGGATGGGCTATTTATAAGAACACACAAACAGTAATTAGAGGTTGTTAAAATTCTCATCTTATTAGCTTAAGTCATATATTATGTGCCATATTTTGCCAATATCCTGCAATATTTTACCTACAGAATTAGCAACATTATATATTCAATCTAATACTGAATTATATAATTCAACCTAATAGCAATATTATATAATAAATCTAATACAATATTATATAATTCACTAATTAGGTGATGTCCTAATATTATTAAAAGTTAATTAAAGCCCTCAGTTTACAAACTTCTACGTCAGAACCGGTGACCTTATTTCACATCTCATCACAGATTTAAGACAAAGTTACTGTTTGCAATTTCATCACAAGTTTATGACAAAGTTACTATTTGTTTGCAATTTTAGGAAATTTAGTGCAAATAAACATCAAACTGACCTTAATCTGAGAAATCAGATGCTGTGGTGCTTGTCAGCAGTATCAGGTTATAGTTCAATTCAAAAGTACAAAATGGGTAGCTATAATATAACAAATCTTACCACATTCTCTTCTGCAATATATACTCTCAGCTTAAAGCCCCAATTTTCTTTTGTAAAAGGGGATTAAATAGCAGAAATACAACAAAAGAAAAAATACTAGGATGATTTCAATCAAAATAGAGTACATTCTAGGCTCCCCATTTACATCATGAATTGGAGTTATTCCAGGATTAGGCAACATTTTAGTGCTCGAAAGGAAGTAACACTGTACACCTCTATCTTCCTGAGCTATTAAATAAAGGCACCCTGTAATAACCTGTGTTTTCTTAAAGTCTTATATATTTCTCCTTTCAGTCAGTTGATATGCAGCAGGCCATACAGTTTTGGGTATTCATCAGCTAACCTGTTGAAGCTAGACAAGGTGAGGAACCCAAGCACCAAGAGATCTATTAAAACCCTTATCTTTCACTACCAATAGCATCTAAAGAGAGGATAAGAGAAGTCCTCTTGAGACAAAAGTTAAAAGGCCAGCTGATTTCTCATCTCTCCTTATACCATATGCCCTACCCCCGTCCACTACCATAGGGTAGATGATTACAGCATTGGACTACGGGACATGTGAACCTAGAAACAGACTAAAAGGTGCTGCCTAGGAATAGTTGTTCCTTATTGTCCGTATGCAGGTATATGCATTGATTTAACTACTTTAAGACAGGTCCGGGTCTCACACTGCAGGTCTTCCCTGTGGTCACTGGCTACAATTGGGAATGAGGGCCTCCACTCTCATAAGAAAGAAGGAGATAAAAGGAGCAATGGATATAGAAAGAAGTTTTAGAAAAGATACTATGTGCAATACCTCCAAGAATCTAACACATTTATCTATTATATAGGAGATTCATAATTAAGTGGTTCTAGAGAGAAGCAAAAGTTGTCAGATATTAATCAGCTGACCACTTTGGCCCCAGTCAAATATCCCTTCCACATTACTAGGTTTTGCTTCTTTGCTGTCATCATCTCTCACTGAATGAGAAAGGCAACAGTCAACAATAATTGCAAATAAAATATCAAATCTTCCAGAGACGAGGCATTTCAAGAAATGCTGTCAGAGAACCCCTCCAACCACACTCAATGCCACTGGGAGATAAGGATCTTAAAGTTAGCTAGTCAAAAATGAAAATAATAATAATAACACAATAGAGGTATCAAAATCAGACTAATTTTTATAATTAAGATATACTGTGGCAGACTGCTTCTTACCTCTCCCCCAACCCGGCTCCCCATGCACACCCCTACACACCAGTTCATTTTCCCCTTCTTTCTGCACATAGGCTGGAATATATTTATATTTACATGTATTTATATATTTATATTCCCCAGGCTTCTTTGCAGTAGACTGAGGCCATATGACTAAGTTGATGCCAAAAGGATGCGTGATAGAAGTGATATGTCCTCCTTCCAGGCCATTTTCAACTTAAAGACAAGCTACTTCCCCAGGATTTAGGGCATTTTCCAGCCTCCCACAGGGCAGACTCAGCTTCCCTTATGCATCTCAGCATTATCAGAAGAAACAAGATGGAACCTGATCCTGGAATGATTTCATGGAGCAGAGCGTAGACCAGCTCACTTACTTTGTGAGAGACAAGTATACTTCTATCTTATATTAGAAATTACATGGCCTCTTTGTTATCGTGGTTTAATCTTTATTCTATGAAAAAAAATCCTTGCAAAAACTGGTAAAGCTTTCTAATGCTTTTGGAAAAAAAAAAAAAGGCTCGCTTTTGAATTGTGCTGACAAACTCACATGTAAAGGAAGTCAAAATTTTAATCATACATTTTTGTCAGAAAAATGATATCAAGGAAATACTAGATTCACTCTTTGTTCTGTGAATTACTTATAATCTACATGGTTCTAAATCTGAGATAAACTATTATTATCATTTTATTTTTCAGGATAAAGTCTGAATCATATCAAGTTTTTTCTCTTTTACTATTTACTGTGAAATGTAACTGGACTCGCCTTAACTGGCAAATTCTGACACCAATTCTCCTCTGATGAGGGAATTTCTTGAATAAAACAACTATTTCTCTATTTCTTGCTACTACCAAGGGAAACAGTAACAAGTGAAAATAAGACACATATAACAAATTTCTCAGTGGGTAAAGTGATCTTCAGTGCCTTTTACTAGAAGAAAGCATCAGAGTAAAGAATAAATTATATATAAAATAATCAAATACCAATGTTTGTTCCTTGGCCACAGTATTCTAAATATTTTTAATAAGAAACATTCATCCATGTCTATATATTCTTTTCTCAATGTTTTTAAAATAGGAATGAAGAATCCAAGTCATTCGTGGATTCAATTTTTTTTTTTTGAGATGGAGTCTTACTCTGTCGCCCAGCTGGAGTGCAGGGGCACTATCTCGGCTCACAGCAACCTCTGCCACCTGGGTTCAAGCAATTCCCCTGCCTCAGCCTCCCGAGTAGCTGGGAGTACAAGCACAAGCCACCACATCCAGCTAATTTTTTGTATTTTGGTAGAGACAGGGCTTCACCATGTTGGCCAGGCTGGTCTTGATCTTCCTGATATTGTGATCTGCCCACAATTTGGCCTCCCAAAGGGCTGGGATTACAGGAGTGAGCCACCGCACCCGGCCAAGTGAATTCAATTTTTTTTTAATTTTTTTTTATTTTTTTTTTACAAATGAGAAGCTTCCTTTAACAACAACAACAAAAAATTATGAACAAAATAGAGAGATTCAGGAGGGTCTGACATATATTTAGTCTTAAGAGACCTCTCGACTAAAATGTATGAGACAATTATGGCAACTTGCATACTAACTTAATATTGATGATATCAAGGTTCATTGGTAATATTTATTTGATGATATCAAGATTTGATTATATTAAGATAGTGTTAGGTTGTTTATGATTTGCTGTGTGAGTGTGTGTGTGTGTGTGTGTGTGTGTGTGTGAGATGGTATGGTGATTATATTTTTCAGAGTTCTTAACTTTTAGAGATATATATTGAAAAATTCACAGATAAAATAATGTCTGTGGTTTGCTTCCTAATCTGAAGGGTATGGGAGAGTATAAACAAAATAAAATTGTTCATGAGCTGATAACTATTGAAGTTTAGTGATAAGTACCAAGCGTTCTTTATATCATCCTATTTTTACTTGTGTTTGAAATTTTCCACAATAAAAAGTGTTTAAAACATATTTAAGGGAATAACATAGTTTTCCATGTCCCAGTCCTCAAACACTTCAGTTTGGTAAGAAAAACGAGAAAAGAGTAAAAGGAGGAAGAGAAAGGAGGGAGGGGAGAAAAGTACCAAAGCAGACAAATAATACAAGAAAAAGGTAGATGGGCTCACCTTCCCCAAGGACCATTATTACTGCCCTACCGACCTCAACACAAATACCTTCCAATGGTCCCAGTGATTCCTGTGGACCAGTAGAACTTTGTGCTAATGTAATCTGCACTACCTTTTCTCAGACATAAAGGAATATGTGATTTCTAGCTGCCAAAAATAAAACGACGGTCTAATGTAACATTCGTCCTCATTATAACTCCTCTCTTCCCTCTCTTTCCTTTCCTTTTCCCTGTTCAATTTCATGAAAGCTGAAGTTTTTTTTTCAACTCTACATCATGATAAAAAGAAGATTCTCTACAGACCAACAAAGTGCCAAAGCACAGTGGGCAGTCAGGCCAAGTGAGTATATTCAAACTGCAGACTTTTTATAAAAGAATCATTAGAGAGATCAACAAAGGTCAGTGTTATAACTGGAACTGCACAGCACACTAGATCATAAAGGCACATTTGGCCAGAGAAATGTCTGCCCTTATTCCTAAAGCTTGTGGAGCTCAGTTAATGAAGAATTTCAAAAACTGAGATGCCAGCTGTTATATACCTGATCTCTACCAGGAAAAAAAAAAAAACTGTTAAAAATACTAGTATTCCATAGAAAACATTCTCATAGATGATTTGTAACAAATAAAAATTACAAACTATACTCAGAAAGTATCATGGATGTATGTCATGGTCAAACTACTGTTTGGAAAGTGTCTAATGACATTGTCATAGGTCCCATCTCTAATGAAGTAAATTGACAATGGACTTTTCTGTTCTTTGCTCTACTCATCATTGTCATTATCTGTCCCAGTTATGATATGCAGTGCAGGCATTTTTTTAAAATACCTGTAAATTCATTGACGCTCTTCTCATGGGTCTATGTCACCTCCCCTTGAATTGGAGTAGGCTTGTGACTCCTTTGACTAATACAGGTCAGCAGAAATGCCTGAGGCTATGACATAAAAGCCAAGCAGCTCCTGCTTGATTTTTTTAGACATCTAGCTCTTTGAATATTCTCCCTCTTGGAATCCAGCCACTATACTGAGAGAAGCCCATTGCAAGTAGAGAAATCACATACAGTTCTATTGCAGAATTCCTGCTGAGCTCAGCCTTCAAATAATCTCAGCCCAGAAGCCAGACACACGAGTGAGAGACCAGATGATTCCAGCCCCTTGTGGTTAAGTCAGCCCCAGCCACTAAAGTTTTCCAAGATAAGAGGTTTGACATTCCCAATGTCAACTAATTTTAACCTTCAGAATCCATGAGCGTGACAAAATGGTTGTATCCCTCTACATCTTGGGTGGTTTCTAACACAGCAAAAGTTTCACAGGACGTATAATATAAGATAGCATTCTTGACCACCTCATTCATTTCATTCATCTCTTATCCTTGTCAATTTTCTTCCTTCCCTCAAACGTTTCCTTTTCTTCACTCAACCATCTTTTTACCGTTTTCAGTTCATGAGCTAATCTATCCACAGAACTAGTTTTAGACATTCATGATTATTCATTCTGACATTTATTGCACAGCCATGATGTATTAGGAACCATGCATGAGGCACTGAGGTAGTTACAAAGATGAAGACATGATCTTTGCTCTAGAGAAAAATGGGAAAAGAGTGCCTTAAAAACAAATAGTGGCACTATAATCTATTAAGGGCTATAAAAGTGGTAATGCTCAGTGTCTTGCTACACTGGTAAAATAAGTCAATATCCAATTTCTTCCAGTGCTCTGTGAAATTCTGAAAATCAATTTTACTTATATAAGCAACATAGACCCACAACAATAAATTAATGTTTGTGTACACGTTAGACATATACATAAATCTCAATTCTCTTCCATACCGATTTCTCAAAAGCATATTTCCAAGTCTTTTTTTCCCCTCTGAGTATTCTGTCTTACACAAACCATACAAAAGAAAATACAATATTCGGCATGATCTAGCACCCAGAACACTGCCTGAAATATACTGCGTACTTGGTCAGTACTTATTGGAGGACATTGATTTCACTTTACGTAGCTAGCTGGTATTTACTTCAGAAGCCAAATCTCAAAGGTAACAGAAGCATCTACTTCAGACCTTTCAACATTTGCAGTTCCTTCTACTGTCACTGGGCAGACATGAAAGAAAACTCTTATTTCAAAAGCCACACAGATAAGGAGGGAGCACTGAATATTCATTTGCATCTTAAATCAGCAAAGTCTTGGAACCATAAGTTAACAAACAACTTAGAGGATCCTTTTTTTTCAGAGATGCCCTGATGATCAATTTTGTCCTATGCAGAAAGTTCTTTTTTCTGAGGGGGGCCAGCAGCTTGGAGGTTACTCATCTGAGAGGCCCAGGCCTGAGTTTCACGTGTCTCCAATGTGTGAAGTGATGGTGTTTCAATCAAACTCTCATGCTCTTATCTGTTTAATATGACAAGTTTTTATCCACCATTATTCTAAATTTTCTATTAATATATAAAGTGAACCTCATGATGTAAAAGAACACTCTCTTCCTTTAACTGACATAGCAACTGAGAACCAAACTTACAAGTTCTGTGAGCCTTGTGACATCATTAAGATTAATGTGGTTGAGGCCGATAATCTCTAATGTTATATTTAGCCTTCAAATGTAATTAGTCTATGTAGCTTGATCTAGAAACTCACTTGTTCTCCGTTTTACTACTGTGTTAAACAGAAAATTCAGCCAACTAGAGGGCAGGCCTGTACCTTCTGATATATTAAAGGACCCAATATTTAATCTATTCCCTGACAAAACTGGAGAAGGCATAGCAATGTTCTTTAAACATTAACCTGAAGATTTTTTTACTGATGTCCAGGATCTTATTTCACTCATTATTTTTACTGGAACTTCTGGCCAAG